ATGAAAGTTCGGTGCACCACTTCCCCGAAAGTCCTTGAAGGACAATGTGCGAGATCCCGAATGGCCAGATACCATGTCACTCCTGAATGCCCGGAGGCGATCCTCCATCATCTCCAATATCCCCTCCTTGATCGACCCGAAGATAATGGGGGTCGACTCAAGGACACCTCTGGTGATCTCCGACGCGATGAACTCGCACAACCTCTCATCTACAGGCTCGGAACCTGATCCCGAACCGGATCCCTCTCCTGAACTGCCAACTGCTGGCCTCGGGCGTAGTACCACCATTCTGAAATACAAAGAAATAACAACTGTTAGCGATACTGATACCCCTGGAGGGATCCCACCCACTACAAGTTCCCTGGTCTTATCATAGCCTTCCTCGGTTCGGGTACGAATCCTTTGCTTTCAGTAGTACGATCCCATACTACCTTCCACACCTATCCGTACCTTCCCTAAAGACCGCCTCGACTCAACCACGTCCCTTCCACTACCTCTGATCACTGCTACTCTTTATCCTAGGCTTACCCTAGGAAACCTATGACTCCACCCAACCCAGTCCTCAGCTGCTGAAGGCCTCTTGGTGATGCCAATTAACTATTACCTGAATACAATCACATGTGATGAGGCTCGGATAATCCTTCGAGTAAGGGACTCATCTCTACAACGGTTAGGACTCAAACAAGAGCTACGCAATAGAGTCAAATCCAACACTATGAGATTATTCAACCCTGATTACATGTGACTTTAACGTATTCATCGAACAGTTAACTCCCATCACTTCAAAGCCCACATAGCACAAAGAAAACAACATTTGGACATAAGGAAAACAATCTCAAACAACTCTATCCTCGTATAGAAAACTGAACTAACATACAATGCTAAACTCGTACTATCAGTAATAACCTCAACAGGCTACCCTACTGCTGTCTACTCAACTCTAGCATGCAACTCTTTCATATACTGAAGCACATAAAGCAGGCACATAAGGCATCACTCCTAGATCCTTAGTCCTATTCTAGCATGCTGTTCTACAGAAACTGATAAACATAAATAAACTTGTATGGGTACATTAGGGAATACTTACTTGAGCTCGGCCGGTCGCGCACATCACACACTTTGTTCTTTCTTAAAACCATTTACTTAGCCTTTTAGAAAACATTTTCTCTTTCCAAAATCTTTTAATCCCTCGATTTGAGTTCAAACACCCCCGAAGGTGTGTCCGAATCCCTCAAACCAGGGCTCTGATACCAACTTGTAACACCCCAAAATATGAGCCAAAAATTTCATTTTTGAAAACATATTTTTAACAAAACATTCGAATTAAAACATTTACTAATCAAAGTATTTTAGTAAGATATCGCATGTCTGGAAAACATTTCAATAAACATAATAAAGTCAGAGTACAAATCCCCAGGAAGTTCTCATGATGCGGAAACGAAGCATGTGTGTGATGGGCCACTACCGCGCCAGCTCCTTCCCCTTCGAAGAAGAGGTACCTGAAACCAAAACTGAAAACTGTAAGCACAAAGCTTAGTGAGTTCCCCCATCATACCATATACCATACAATCACATATCATACATATTACCAGGCATTTCTGGGGTGCCCGACCTACTCGGTACGACCATTCTGGGGTGCTGACCTACCCGTGTCAAGCCATTATGGGGTGCTGACTACCCATGTCAAGCCATTCTGGGGTGCTGATTACCCTTCGGTCCTGACGACCGAACCTTGGGGACTATTTCACCCCTACTACTACTATCACATATATCATAACATAACATATTATTAGACGTATCTGGGGTGCCTGAACTACCCTTCGGTCCTAGCAACCGAACTCGGGGACTAGTCCCCTCCTACTACCTCTATCGCATATAACGTAAAAAGCCATCATGCAAACATATCATCATATACTGCCAGACGTATCTGGGGTGTCTGACTACCCTTCGGTCCTAACAACTGAACTCTACTACTATCACATACAACATATCATGCTAGCATATAACATATCAGGTAGTAGCAAACCTAGATGATATCACAAAGACAATCATCTATCATACATCTCCTACTGGTGGGCCGGCATTGTGGCCTTAGACCCACCGCTACTGGAAGGTAACTCACCTCGTAGTAGCTGCTGATCTGTGTGGGAATAGTCTGTCTGTCTGTTGCTGCTGCTGCTTCGGAAATCCTTCGGCTATAATTCCCACCAAACACTTAGTCAAATACTGCTAACCGCCCTTAGGGTAAATTGCCCATTTACCCTTAACAAGTCATGAGTTAAGTCATAGTCAACTGCCAGTTGACCAGACTCGTCGAGTTGGCTTACCGAATCGTCGAGTCCCTTTCTCTATAACCAAGTCTTAATAGTTTTGCATCCTACTCGCCGAGTTATATGAACAACTCGCCGAGTTCGCCTTCATCCGAAGAACACTCTAAGCTGTGACTCACCGAGTTGTATGAACAACTCGCCGGGTTGTTCTTGAGACAAGAAGATTGCCATGAACTCACCGAGTCATGGCATTGACTCGCCGAGTTACTTCATGAGTGAGTCTGGCTTCCAACTCACTGAGTCATACCCTATGACTCACTACTCCAACTTGCAGACACAAAAGGGAACAACCTTGGGACTCGCGACCCGACTCGCCGAGTCAGATGAACGATTCGCCGAGTCGGCCACATGCAAAAACCATACACACGATTTTGCTTGGATCCAGCTCATTCCATTCATAGATCTGGGTTCCTAGGGCCTGGTTTACACGTAAAGTTTCCAACTTTACGTGTAGAAACGCATATAATGGGGATTAGGGGCGAAATAATGGCTAAGAAGGTAGATCTAGGACATTCCAGCAATTTACTCCCATAAAGGTTATAGATCTGAGCTTCTGGAGCTCAAACAAGACTAGTTCTAGTGGATACTCAACCTATTACGAGTTCTACTTCATGCACAAGCTTGGAAAAGGTTCAAGAAGAGCTTAAAAGGTGATCTAATGGGGTTTTAAGCATGCAAACAGAATAGAGTTGAGATATACCTCAGAGAACTCTGAAATAGCACCAAGATATCTGGTCTCCTTCTCCTTTTCTTGCTCCACTCTCCTTCTTCTCCTAAAAACTTCAAGGAATCACTCTAATCCCTTCGATCTCACAAGAAACGATTTAGGGTTTGATGTAGGGCGCTCTGAGGGTGAAAGGGGGCGAGCTTGGGTCGCAGAAGCTAGAAAAAATCATTCATCGAAGGCTTTCAACACACAAAAACAATGTCAAGCAAGAAAAAATCATTCATCGAAATCCACTAGTCTTGAACACCCTATCTCAAGAGATTATAAACTAAGAACGTGTAATTGTCGAAAACCAAATCACCATTCGTGCTCAGTTACAAAACCAACTTTCCTGTACTTGGATTTCTTCCCAATTTACAAAACACAAGCCAAGAAGCATCTTCTCTCCTCACCCAAATTCAATTACAAAGATTATATATTTATATTTATCTATCGTATTCATTATAAAAAAAAAGCTAAATAAATTCACAGAGTGTTATAAACACATCCTGTCTATAGCTTAATTTAAATCACTTGCATAGAAGATAAACGAAACGACAGACGATTGATGGAGTGGTTGTCGGTTGGTCAGAGTATGACCGCATATAACCTCTCGAGAGATTTTGTGGGCTTATAAAGGCATATAGCCTCTCGAGAGATTTTGTGGGCTTAGAACCTTACTCATTAAATAACTCTCAATTATAGGGCCAGCTCGACATTTATATATATTCTTAGAGCCCAAAACAATTATTTCTCTATGTTTTTTTTTTCACGATGAAAAATGTCATTACAACGTATTAGGGGTATGAATAGACACTAAATATCAAATTTCACTCTCTTTGTCATTGATTTTGTCAAATGTATCCCTTGTTCGTAACTGTAGATATGTGTGATAAGTTTGCGATTCTATTACGTTAGTTATATTTATAAAAAAAAGATTAATAGAAACAAAGTGTGTAAATCAAGTTTGGTAACAATGCCAAGTAAACATTAAGTCACCTAACTAAAAGCTAAATGCCAAAAAAAAAAACCAATGACAATAACAATCTACTTTCTATTCTATATTACAACATTATATATTTTTTTTTTTTTTTCCTAGATGTAACCTAGAAGTTAGGAGTTTGGAATTTCTTATTTAAAACAGTTTATTTTGTTAGTAAAAGAGTTTATTAGCTTATTCATTGTTAAAACGAAATTTTAAAAAAATGGATTAACTTATTTGGTACGAAAGCATAATAAAGTTATAAGTTATTTTTTAGTGTTTGGTAAATCGGTGCTACGTGTATTAAGGAAATAATTTATTAAAAATTCTTTAAATAAGCAACAAGTCAGGAGTAAGAACTTATTAAACCTCTTTATTTAAGTTAGTAAGTTCTTATGAAATATTCATGTTCAAACACGTGAAACTCATTATTTTACTGGTGACAAAACTGCAATAAATGCTTGTTTGATATGCTGGTATAACAACATGAATGGAATCAACAATTCCAATCCTATTTAGAAAATCTGGATAGATGAAGTTAGGGCAAGGCTAGTTGTCGATCTCTTCCTTCTTTTAGGAAAATCTTTTGTTGCGGTTTTGAAGATTGAAGAACGATGTGAGCGTCAATTGAAGGGTTTTATTCTATCATATCTTTTCAAAATTTTGAATATGTGTTACTATGTGCCTCATTCCAATCATAAGCCCTTCTCGAGTTCTTCCCCTTTATCGATCTCTTTTTTGTCCACTTTTTTCTTGGTGTAAGTCCTTTGATCATTTGTGTGTATTGTCACCACTTTCGCACCACATAGCTAAGAAATACCATCACTCCATATCACCAAATACCTATAATTATTTGAGTGAGAGAGAGAGAGATTTTCATTTCATTTACTTTCATTACATTTAATTATATTTGTTTATTTATCAAACAACACAGATTAATAATTGTTTCCATTCTTCCCGAGTAATCAAATATGATGATGAATCACACTTTCTCCCAGATCGAGACAGAATAAGAATTCAATTCTCCGGCATCTGTCATCGGATTCTCAGACAACTGAGTTTCATGATCCTCTCCATATCTCCAAATCTTCCAAAACTCAATAACATCAACGATTACAAACACAAACAACAGAATTAAACTACACACCGACACAACCATGTACATAGCCACCGTCGTTTGCAGTGGTGAGAAATCCGCAAACTGATAAACAAATCCGAACGTAATCACCGTGTACAGAAACCAGATATCCAACTTCAGCCACAATTGCTGCATCAATTTCTCGTTTTTAGGCAATGAAACATATTTAGACAAGAAAAATCTCGACAAAACGAATCCCACATAAATAAATACAAAGATAATCGCAAATGAATTCTCATTGCGGCGGATTGCTTTCGAGATTGTACCGACGAAGTTGGGTATCATGATGACGGCGTAAAATGGAATCAGCTGGTAGTCGTTGGGGATTTCGTGAGAATCTCTTTCGATCCTGCTGTTAGGAATTAGGGTTTCCTTCTTATAGAGAGGGATTTGGATTCCCATTATGATTGGAATCGAGGAGATGAGAGTTGATGTTAGTAGTTTAGCTAATCAGTTTCTGTGAAAATTAAATAATGACGTATAGAGATGGAAGTTGTAGTAGGGTTTATAGATGCAGAAGAACGGAAGTGAGCTTCCATGGAGTTTCGTAGCAGTTTGAAACTAATTTCGCAGCCGTTTCAGTCACGGGGGATGGAAGACCGGAAAGTGAAGGAAATTCATAAGAAATCATACGTGGCGACGTGGGGTTTACGGGGAAACTAGAAATTCTATTTATACTCTCCGATTGTCTTTACCTCCCCATTGTGAGGGCAATAGTATTTATACATCTCGACATTTATGTGAGAGTGAAGGTAAAAATAATATCACCCAACTAAAAATATTGAGTGAATCACGACTTGGGTCCTTAACATTTTTTGGGTTTTGATTTCAATTTTGGTCAATGTTTTATGATAGATTTACTATTTAGGTCACTTGATCGCTAAATTTAATAAAATTGACCATTTTAACTTTTAAATTTATTTTTTATTTTTTATCATCCCTATACTAATAAAATATACTAATAAAATAGTAGTTGTTTTATCATTTGTCATCATATTAGACATCCTAGTTAATATGATGTCATTTGTCAATCAATTAATTTTCCATTTTAAATTTATTAAACCTCCTAATTAGTATGATGTTACTTGTCAATCTATTTATTTTTTATTTTCCATTTTAAATTTTATATTATTGTTTACATTAATTCACAAATAAAAATTGTCTAATATAAATTGAAAATTAATTTCACATATTTATTTGAATCAACGAATATAATTTTACATAACTAATAAAAATATCTCTTAATTGATAATTTATTTAAAGTAATAGATTAACAATTTTAAAATTTTAAAATAAAACTTTAATTAATTTTGTAACCGTGGTTCCAACTAAATATAATAAATTACCTATTTCCATTCATCTTCATTGGAACCAATACTCTCATCTCCGGCAACTTTATAAGAATTTACCTCATCGAATTGGGAAACAAATCACATTCTTAAAAAAAGCAAGAAAAATGAATTTAAGAAATAGTTTATTATTATATTATATTTGCCCTTTTTTTAAAAAAAAATCTTTAATCTTCTATTGGTTTTAATTTCCTATTTGGCATTCGCCACCACTCTCTTACTCATTTATCGAGCCTTGTAACAAACGGGTCGTCCCCAAACTGTTGTTGTAAATCTAACTATGTAACATGCAAATTTCATACTTTTTTGTTGTTTTTTCAACTTTGGAATCACTTTGCTTTCTTTTTTGTTTGATTAATCAAATGTTGTGTATAGGTTGGAATTTTTATTTTTGTGATTAGGTAGTGTAGGACCGCTTATTGATTTTGTGAATTTGATATGTTGAAATCTTTATTAGTTATAGATTGAAATATTGTTATTTGAAATTCAATTTTGTTGGCAATTTGTTTCAAGGAGTTTTCCCAAGGATGTATTTATAAATGTTTCATTTAGGTTTCTTCCGGCAATGGAATATCTTTGCATCATGAGTGTTGTTCAGTGGAACACGATACAACTCCTATTTACAAAAGAATAAAGGTGAGAATGTGGTAATTGGAACTTCATTTACCCTAGAATTCGTTGATCTCCAAAACAAAGAAAAGGGAGTCAATACCATAGAATAATTGAGATGTTAAATAGTCTATAAGATTGGAAATGATGGCTAATGGTGATGTGGTGGTGGTACGATGGGGAGGTCAGTTGTGAAACGAAGGGCACAAGGGAAAGGTTTAGAACAAGCTTAAAGAAAAAATAACTAATCATAATAAAAATGGTAGGGATCTTCTGACATTCAATCTACTTTGTTGGGGGATGGAAGTAGACTCCTTCTCGCTGTGTTTTGAAGACGATGGATGGTGTGTTGCTAGTGTCGTTATGGATACTCTATCTTCAGATGGGAATTTTTCGATATTTGTAATAATGAAGCTAATGTTGTTATCTATTGATGTATTCCTCAAATGCAATTTCATTTTTTTTTTTGGAATTCCTTGTAAAGCACTGGCAATTGGAGGTAGTTGATTTATGTGGTTTATGTCATCATTTGATATAAGTTTGTTCGAAGTTGTACCATATAAGTATTGTGTTGCATTATCAGAAAGTACAATAGTCATTGAATGACTTTCATCTGTAATTATTGCACTAAGTTTGAACCTACACGTTTGCATGCTTGAAGTTATGATATATATATATATATATATATATATATATATATATATATATATATATATATATTTCCCAGATAATTTTTTCTAGACATCTACACTTACGTGGTAGTTGGAGAGGTGAGTATGCCATCTGAAGGGCATAACCAATTTTTCCCTTGTTTAAAAGTTCCAATTTTGCAGTTTGGACACTGAAGTTGGTACCAATAGTCTGAGAAGATATATTCACTTATGGAGGCCTTTATGGTAAAAGTTTTGTCCTGTACAACAGAAACTCTCTTATAATTTGCATGAAAACACAAATGTTAAGTTATTTGTTTGTTTTCACATGTAAATAAAGAGGTAACATACTGAAAGATCTGAATGAGTTTTCTCTAATATGTCTGATAACAGTGTTGGGGGTTCAGAAATGTCTGGTGAGTCAAGAAATTTTCCATAACTGCAACATATAAAGATCATGATAATGAATGTCCAATGATCTGTATTGTATTTATATCTATTACGATTCCTATCCATAAGAACCTCTGTTTCTGGAATTGAAGGATTGATGTATAAGTGAGTTGCACTACTTGTTCCAAGTCTTAGGGAGCCTTTATGTTAAATGTCAATGAAAACGTGGAAGTTAGTGATGTGGTAACTTTTTAGTGTAACAGTGATTTGGAAAAGAAAAGAAGATGCATTTACCTGCATAAGTAGAAATCTTTACACTGCTTATAGTGACAACTGCAGGAGCTGGAGCATTTTCAAGAGCAACACGATCAAACTTTGAAGGTATGTTGGTGTATTCTTTCCACAAACTTATTGCGATATCATGACCACTAATGTTTATAGATTTCACATATGTTAGTACCCTATAAGAATAATAGTACAAATAAATTACTTACGAGTTATTTTTTAGAATCAACAGTAGATATGGTTCTTTATCTTTCTTTGTGCAGTTGATAAGTTTACTGAAGACACCAACAAAGTCTACAAGTAAGAAATGGTAGTTTAGAATACTTATGTCTAACATGTTACATGAGATATAAACATTTGTTTGTAGTTATTAGCAATCAATGTCAATAATTTTCTTTAATGCATGCATGATGTATAAATATATGAAAACCGGCATGTTGATCCGTATAATCTGGAATTTGTTTTTTGGAAATGAAATCAAACCAATATGTGGGAATGATGGGTTTCTGGAATAGATGTAATCGATGATGCCGTCCCAACAACTATGTACGTCCCAAAAATCCGTACCAAAATTTTTCTTTAAATCATTACCAAAGTCATATTCATAAAACATATCATAAGTCATAACATGAATTCAGAGTATCATTTACAAAACATATTTTCATTATCAGAGTAAAACATCCCAGACTGACTAATCAATGGTGTGTGTCATGCAATCAGCCCGAGCTCTTCCCACCGCTACCGGAAGTACCTGAAACCAAAACTGAAAACCGTAAGTACGAAGCTTAGTGAGTTCCCCAACCTACCACATACCCTGATAAAAACACAGACAACACATACTGGGCCATGCCCGTTATTTTGGGCCTCACCTGCTACAACGGCCCCGCCTGGCTTCGAGCTCTGCTCGGATATAGATCTGTTTCACTCATGCCTCGCCTGTCACTGGGCCTCGCCGCTAATCATATAATAGCACATAAACATATCACAACACATAAGCTAAACATATACTAATAAATCCTGTCCTAAGGCCTCGCCTATCTTGGGCCTCGTCCTTGACCTGCTGCTGATGAGTCATGGAACCCCGTCCACGCCCTTACTGGTGGTGAGATACGGGCCCAACCCACACTCACTATTTCCCTAACTTGGGCCTCGCCCCTGCTCTACTGCTAATGAGATGTGGAACACCGTCCACACTCTGCTATTGGTTAGATGCGGGACCTTGCCCACACACACCACCCTACCAGGAACATACAAGTATCACACAGACAACAAGTATACTCTATCATGCAAACCATTCCTTGGGCACCCGCACACTATCAATGGACCTTGGTCCTAAATATCATACTGCCATACAGTGCCTATGGCTAACCCCTGGGTCTTCCTACTTATATCTACATGGACCGGCAGTGTGGCCTTAGACCAATTCACACAAAGGGAAACTCACCTGGAACCGCTGAACTTGCTGGTAATCCCTCTGGCCGCTGTCTGACAACTCTCTCTGAACTCCTGCTCCAGTAACTCCCTGAGCTACCTATATCAATATAGCACATAGTCAATCTGTCCTCCGAAGCCAACTCGTTGAGTTCATCTCTATCTTCATACTACTCTCCGAGTCTATTTAGTTCTTAATTCATATAGGGGCTTTTCGAGCCATGCAAGGGCTCCAACTCATATATCCACTCTTCCCAAGTCTATTCCTCACGTAAAGTTGCAAACTTTACGTGAAACCAAATAGATATGGGCTTAAAACACTCTAAGGCTAGGGTTTGGGGCAAACATGCTTAACCAACACACCAAAAACTGATACTTTATGGATCTCTAGGCCAAGACACACCTAGATCTGAAGTAGCAACCTCAAATCTGGACTTCTAACTCAAAAAGGCTCCTTATCATACCAAAATGGCCCCAAAACATCATCCATGAGAAGATCTAGAAGCAACAAAGGCAAAGTGACAAATTGTTACCTTCAAATGGATGCTCACAACAAAAGGGTTGGATCCTCTAGCTCCTTAGTGGTCAAATCCTCCAAACCTTCCTCTTGCAAAAGCCTCAAACCCACTTCCTTCCTTCTCTCACTCAACTAGGGTTTGGAATCGTGTATAGCAGCTTTTGGCCGACA